AGGACCCTCCCCAGCACCAGTGCCACCCCCAAGACCGCCGGGACAAGCCATGGCAGTACCCCCAAGACTAGCACCCTCCTCAATGCCCGCACCCCCAGAGCTAGTGAACCCTTGTGGCGGCTGCAACTGCTGCAGCGGCGACTACGGCTGTGACAGAGAGTGCTGGTGCGGCAGCGACGGCGGCTGCTTCAGCGGCGGCGGAGGAGGAGATATTGGGGCGGAGACAGGCAGCTAAACCAGAGACGCAGGGCCCCCAGAGTGAGCCAACTCCTCCACCGGAACAACCGACGGGAGGGGAGTGACGTGAGACACACCAGATGGGCGAGGACGGGGAGGGAGAGGAGCAGGGGCTACCAGGGGAGTGGGGACGAGAAACTGGGTCATGGTGACCAGGGGACCTCGGAGGGGAAAGCGGGTGTAGAAGGAGATAGACTCGTCAAAAGTGACGTCACGGGAGTGAAAGAATCAGTGAGACGGCGGGTGGTAAAAGTGCCAGTCAGACGCGTCTAGGGGGAAGTCAAGGAAGACACAAGGGACAGTGCGGGAAGTGAGCTTATCCGTGCCAGAGGCACGAACGTGAGCGAGGCAGCCCCAGACGTGGAACGCAGACGCGTTGCCAGAGGACCCGGTCCAGAGGAGGGTCGGCGAAACCTGCGGCAGCTGGGAGTGTGGCCACAGGTTAAGCCGGTGAGCGGCGTAACAAACAATGAATGGCCACAGAATACGGGGTGCACCAGCATGGATCATGGAGGTATGAGCCACCTCCATGGCCAAACCGATGCGTCGCTCAGTGACCCCATTCTGCTGCGGGGAGTCCGGCAGGGTGTACGACTGGGTGATGCCCTCTGCACGACACAAGAGGCCAAGTCGACTGGAGGCAAACTCGCCGCCACGGTTGGAGTGAAGAAAGGGAGGCCGCGGTGGACTCGCGCAGCTACGACCCAGGGGAAAAGAATGCCAGGCACGTCGGCCTTCCGCTCCAAGGGAAACACCGTGGTGTAGCGCGTTTAGTCATCGACAGGCACTAGATAGTAGCGCTCTCGACGCGGCCCAGGGATGGGGGCTGGGTCCAAGACGTCCAGGTGCAGGGTCTGGACTGGCGCAGAGGTACGGGGAAGCGAGGAGGAGTGAGGAGCATGGCGCAGCCTGTTGTGTGATGTCATCATATGCGATCACATTCTGTCTGCCTCCCATCTCTTGTTTCAATTCGCATGTGTGGTTTGAACGTGTGCAAGAATTTGTGTGTGATGTGTTCTGGAGTTTGGGAATGTGTTTTGTGTTGTTTTGTTTGAGCAGGTATTTTGTGATGATAGATCTTGAGAAGATCTTTCCGACGCAACGAGAATCCCTTCAATCGGAGCAAGAACGCGAAAGCTATGAAGATTCAAAGTTCATGAGCTTGCGTTACAATTGCGGCGGTTACAAAGTGAAGTTGTGGGGTGACTCTATATGGAGTTGGGACCTTTGGGGGTTGGGGAAATTTGTCACTCTACTATAACAGCTGCAAATTGGTTGGGAACAACCAAGCTAGGTTGGCAAGGGTGGCCAACTTGGATGGATTGGTTGGGGAGGGACAAATGTAAAAGTTGGGGTTCCTATAGGGAGGGAATCTTTGTGCTTATGGAGTTTCCTTGGTTGGGGAATCTCTTGGGACCTTCCCTCTCATCCCTCTCTTCTATCCCAACCTTTTCTCTTGCTCCTCTAATTCCTTGTGAGATTCTTGAACTTTGATTGAACTCTTGAGATTGAGTTAAGTTCTCCTCCTACAGCTTACCCCCTAGTGCATCGAAAGCCATAGCGTCGCGAATACTTCATCAATCAACGTGATTTAAATTGGGAACGGTAGCTGAGATCAAGAGCTACAACATCTCCAAGTTTCGTGACATTCCAACAGCTACTATTTTGTCGACGTCGTTTCTTGTGAAGACGACTTTTCTATCCAGAATTTCGGATTTATATTTTGAGTATTTCTAGCTCCTAAGCACACCTAGACTCCGTCCTTAATCCTAGAAGTGGTATCAGAGCGATATTAAGAACATTGAGAGGAGTCTACAGAAGTGTGAAGACCCTTCTAGACCCACCATGGCCTGTGGGTGTGCCTAAGTGGTGTTCTAAAGGTTGGATGTGTCTTCCGCTAAGGGGAAACTTTGCCGAAATTTCGTGGACGCCGACACTTGTGAAAATATCGAGGGAGCTGAGTGTGGACAGCAAAGGGGAGCTGAAATTCGTCATTTCTCAAGGAGAAGATGAATGAGAGAGGAGGAGATGCTAATGGAAAGGGAGCTGTACCTGAGAAGACAAGTGAGCCGCCGCCATCAAAAGTTGAAGCTTTGGATGGCTCCAACTATGAGGAATGGAGCGGGCCTCTACTCTTGGGACAACCTCATCCCCACCCTCAACTCTCAGCAAGATCAATGGACACCTGAGTGGCTAAGGCAGCAGATTCTGCAAGAGGACTTCCGCAGACGCCATGTGGGAGGCGGTGCGTCTACTAAGACTGCTGAGGGGTATGGAGCTGCAGGGCGCGGCAAAGGAAGAGGGGGTTGGAGAGGCCGAGGCCGTGGGAGGAGCTTTAGCAGAGGTAGAGGCCAAGGTGACTATAATGAGGGGCATGGGAGCTCTAGTGGCAGGGGGAGTACCAGAATGGAGGGCACCTACTGGTACTGCAAGAAGGTCGGGCATCCTTGGTTCAAGTGCTTCAGCAGGCCGGAGGGATGGGCACCTCCAGGCATGAAGCCGCCCAGTGGTGAACGCGCACAAGGTGGCGCTGTGCAAGGCTCAGGTGCACAAGGTGAAGGTGCACAAGGTAATACCTATCCTGGGATGTTTCTCATGGTTGAGGATGTGCATGGGCATGAGGGTGATGTGGGATCTGTGGGAAAGGTTCCGATGCACCCTCTCACGCACTGGGTGATTGATTCAGGTTGCACCAGTCACATGACCCCACGGGCAGATTTGCTTGATGAGGTAAAACCCACTGGAAAGATTCAGTATGTGACAGCAGCGTCACGTGCTTTGCTCCCTGTCATTGGTGTTGGGAATGCCAAGGTTAAGGGAGCTAATTGGGAACTTATGGGGCTTGGGAATGTTTTGCTTGTTGAAGGTCTGTCTGCTAACCTTTTCTCTGTGCGGCGGCTGCAGAAGAGTAAGGCCCAAGTGACCTTTGGACCAGCCAGCTGCCGTGCTAAGCTTGGGAAGAAGGTGCTGTGGAGTCTGGAAGAGGAGACCAGCTGCATCAAAGACCTATGGCAGCTGCCCATCATCCCTTGGAATGGGAAGACTCCAACAGCAGCAACGGCAGCAGCGGCAAAGGCAATAGCAGGAAGAGATGCAACTGCACCAACTGATGGGGTCCTGGAAGCAGTCAAGAAAGTGCAGCAGCAGCAGACACATGGTGAGGTGCTTGCTGGTGTGGATGCGAGTGCAGCATGGGCTAAGGCTTCATCAAGGAGTGGAGAGGCCGATTGGGAGACATGGCATGAGAGGCTGTGTCATGTGAACTTCCCTATGCTGCAGAAGTTGGTGAAGGATGGGAGCCTCAAGGGCTTGGAGGTGAAAGGGGGAGTGAAGGAGATTGGGAGCTGCCCTACATGCTTGGAGACCAAGTTCTCCAAGTTCCCCTTCAACAGCACTACAGGACCAGCCAAGACCCCACTTGCACTTGTGCACATGGATGTGGTGGGACCCACAAGAGCCCCTCCCTCTCAGGCAGCCGCTATTTCTTGACAATTGTGGATGACCACACTCGAGCAGTGTGGGTTTACCCTTTGAAGAGCAAGGGGGAGGTGGCAGCGGCTGTCCTTAAGGAGTGGATGCCTAGAGCTCAGAGGGAATGCGGACACAAGGTGAAGGTGATCCGCAGTGACAATGGTGGGGAGCTCATTGGAGCTGATTTTGAGGGGGAGTTGAAGAGGAAGGGGATCCAGCATCAACTGACAGTGCCCTACAACCCGCAGCAGAATGGCGTAGCTGAGAGGTTCAACAGGACCCTGCAGGAGGGGGCACGCACTCTCCTTGGGCGTGCAGGGCTGCCTGATCCGTTTTGGGTGTCTGCACTGAGGCAGGTCGCCCTTGTGAAGAATAGGGTGCTGGCTACAGTTGGGGAGGAGTGGATCCCATATACCAAGTGGTATGGGAGTGCTCCAGCTCTGAACATGCTGAGGGCATTTGGGTGCATGGTGGTGTTTCATGTGCCCAAGGAGAAAAGGGGGAAGTTGGAGGCTTCTGGAAGATGGGGTGTGCACTTGGGGATTGCAAAGGATCACAAGGGGTGGCTGCTATGGGACTTGACCACCCAGAAGCTGACAGTGTCAAGGGATGTGAAGTTTTTTGAGTCCCTGTACTACAAGGAATGGAAGCAGCAGCAACAAAAGCTTCCATCTACACCGCTCATTGTGGAGGTAGATGAGGTGCAGCGGCCTTCAAGACAGGTGGAGGTTGCAGTGTCTGAGGAGGAGATGTCTAGGGTGACTGAGGAAGGGGGAGCAGCTGAAGAGGAGCAGCAGCAGCATGAGTCTCCACCTCGAGTTCCACACCAGCCTGAGCGACCTAGGAGGGATGTGCGCCCTCCTGTGAGGCTGACCTATGGGGGAAGAGGCAAGCCGAATGTGGTGCAGGCTGGGAGTGTGGTTGAGCAGATTGAGGAAGATGAGATTGCATTGTGCTATTGGGCTGCAATTCCTCAGCCCAAGGTACTGACGCTAGCTTCAACTCAGTGAAGGCGGATGGCACCAGCATTGGGGGTTATGTGTGCTTGCTAGGAGGTGGTGCTGTGAGCTGGCGCAGCAAGAAGCAGAATGAGGTGGGATTGTCCTCATGTGAGACTGAGTACATGGCCTTACACCATGGGGTCAAGGAAGTGGTGTGGCTGAGGCGTTTGTTGGAGGAGTTGGGAGTTGGTCAGGGGGCGCCGACTGTTGTGTTTTGTGACAATGAGTCTGCTGTGAAGCTCGCCAATAATGCTTGTCTGCATGGGCTAACAAAACACATAAGGCCAAAGTGGCATTGGGTGAGGAGACTCCTTGATGAGGAGGTGCGGCTGGAGATAGTGAAGACCCATCAGCAGGCAGCAGATATTTTCACTAAGCGTCTGGCGGAGGCGGATCATTGGAAGGGCATGAAGCTTGCCGGGATGAGTGTGCATTGAGTATGCATGCTTGAGATGTTGGTATGGTGGTTGATGGTTGGCAGCCAGAGGGGGAGATTGTTGTGTGATGTCATCATATGCTATCACATTCTGTCTGCCTCCCATCTCTTATTTCAATTCGCATGTGTGGTTTGAACGTGTGCAAGAATTGTGTGTGATGTGTTCTGGAGTTTGGGAATGTGTTTTGTGTTATTTTGTTTGAGCAAGTATTTTGTGATGATAGATCTTGAGAAGATCTTTCCGACGCAACAAGAATCCCTTCAATCGGAGCAAGAACGCGAAAGCTATGAAGATTCAAAGTTCATGAGCTTGCGTTACAATTGCGGCGGTTACAAAGTGAAGTTGTGGGGTGACTCTATATGGAGTTGGGACCTTTGGGGGTTGGGGAAATTTGTCACTCTACTGTAACAGCTGCAAATTGGTTGGGAACAACCAAGCTAGGTTGGCAAGGGTGGCCAACTTGGATGGATTGGTTGGGAAGGGACAAATGTAAAAGTTGGGGTTCCTATAGGGAGGGAATCTTTGTGCTTATGGGGTTTCCTTGGTTGGGGACTCTCTTGGGACCTTCCCTCTCATCCCTCTCTTCTATCCCAACCTTTTCTCTTGCTCCTCTAATTCCTTGTGAGATTCTTGAACTTTGATTGAACTCTTGAGATTGAGTTAAGTTCTCCTCCTACAGCTTACCCCCTAGTGCGTCGAAAGCCATAGCGTCGCGAATACTTCATTAATCAACGTGATTTAAATTGGGAACGGTAGCTGAGATCAAGAGCTACCACATCTCCAAGTTTCGCGACATTCCAACGGCTAGTATTTTGTCGACGTCGTTTCTTGTGAAGACGACTTTTCTATCCAGAATTTCGGATTTATATTTTGAGTATTTCTAGCTCCTAAGCACACCTAGACTCCGTCCTTAATCCTAACACAGCCGGCGCTTGATACAGGGCGTGCACAGTGACGCAGGCGAAGGAGGTAGGGCAGGGAGCGATGCCCGAAGACAAGACCGTGATGGGACATGTGACGCAGACACGGGAGTGCAGAGTGACCTAGGCGGTGGTGCCACAGCAGTGACGGGTAGGTGAGCGACCAACACGAGCAAGCCGTAGCGACCTGGGAGGGTGCGGCCACCTGGGAAGACGCCCCCACCAGGGGGGACGCGGTGTCAAGTGTAAACAGGCCAGACACCGGGTCCCAGGGGAACGTGGTAAGAGGGGCACCAGTGGCGGCCTTGGTACAGACCGCGTACGCCAAGGAACGTAGTGGTGACGCCGAGGTCCTGAAGAAAAACGACACCAACTAGGTTCCTGGAGAACGAGGGGATGTGCAGGCCGGTAAGAGAGCTCGAGGGAACCGCCGGACTGTTGGAGCTATGGGCAACACCGGACCAGAGGAGGGGTCAGCAAGGGCGACAGCTGAAGGGGCGGGAAGCGGTGTGAGTGCTGTGCGGTTGCGAAAGAAGCAGGCGGACGCGCCAGAGTCTAGCATGAAAGAGAGCGCGGCAGTAGCGTCACCCGGCGAAGGGGCCAGCATGGAGCCTAGGCTAGATAAAGCAGGAGGTCCTTCGCCTGACGCTTCAGGGGAGCCTAGACTACACACATGTGGCACACCTACACTAGGTAACGCAGGGTAATAAGGTCCAGTCACACTAGATTCATCAGCATACAAGGCATACAAAGCAGAGCAAATCTTATCCATATCCATCTCAAAGATTGGCACACGGCAAAGTACGAGACTGTGCAAGTCGGGGAGGTCCAGCGCAGGGCCGAGGCGGAGACGGAACAGGTCGTCGAGGCGGCGGTAGCAGCGGCCGGCAGTGTGACCTGGATGGCTACACACAGTTTCACGAAGGGCACCAGTCTGAAGCTGGTACTTGCAACTTACAGGGCTGAAGCTACCACTCGACGCCGAGCTGCAAGAACCGCCACCGCGGCCACCACCACTAGAGCCACCGGGCCACCCGGGCGGGAGGCGACCCAACGGCTGCTGTTGCTGCTACTGCTGCTACCCCGGGGGATCAGCCCCAGTCCCCTCGTCGATACCGCCGGCACTCGCACCACCTCCACCACCACCACCACCCCCACCACCCCTCCCTCCGCCACGCCCCCCCCTGGGGCGGTGGCCCTTACCCTGATGAGGCTGTGCTGAGGCCGCCGCAGCGGCGGCCTCAGCAGCAGAGGTTGTCTCAACGACAACACCAGAGATGTCAGAGTAAGTGCACTGTGAGGGAGCACAACTTTGGAAGATAGGGACCGCTGCAGTACTGCTAGACTGAGCGATAGTGCACTGGCGGGTCTCTATCGCGGATAGGGTGGTGACAAAGGAAGAAAAAGTGAGGTCACCTGGGTGCTGGCTAAGGAAGTGATTGCGGGCAGTAGCGAGGCGGTCAGGATGGCGCGTGGCAATGAGGTACAGGGTAGCGGAGAGGGGAAGAGGGAATGCAGCGAGCTGGGCCTCAGTGCTAGCAGCGCGGTAGCTAGTCTCAAGGGCGCGTAGATGAGAGGCAAGATCAGCAACAGTGGGGAAGGACGCAAGATCAGGGAATAGCATGGGAAGGATCCGACGGCTGGCAGAGGCGGAGGAGGGAGTGAAATAGCATGCAATGACCACATCTAAGTACTCCTTCACGTTCGCTACTGCCGTAAAGCAGGGACGCTCGGACAGGGGGAGGGCGTAATTGATAGCAAGCTGCGCTACGGCATCACGCGACTCCCAGACAGTGCGGGCAAGCTCAGCAGCGGCAAAGGCCTCACGCTCAGCAAACGTGGGGGAGTGAGAGACGGGAGCAGGCCCGTCGGGGCAGGGGAGCTTACCGTCGACATGGACGGCTAGGGAGTAGCCGCCGTGGCGCTGACCCGTCAGCTGACTGCAAAGGTCGACGGGCCACACCTCAAAATCAACCGCCTGACCCTCCGCGTCCAGGCGGAGCACGGCGTCCGCCATCACCACGGCCGCAATGGCTGATGGCAACATGGCGGCCAGACGGCATGGCGACATGGCAGCACGGCGACACTGCGGCACGGCGACACGCCCGCACAACAACATGGCGGAATGGTGGCACGGCAGAACGGCGGCACGACGAGCTGTGGCGGCATGAATAGGGGCCGGCGGGACCAGGGCCGGCTCGAGTTGGGGCCAGCGAGCTAGGGCCGGCGAGCGAGCTAGGGGCCGGCGAGCGAGGGGCCGGCGAGCTAGGGGCCGGCGAGCGAGGGGCCGGCTAGCGAGGGGCCAGCGAGCGAGGGGCAAGCGAACGCGGGGCCGGCGAGCGCGGGGCCGGCGAGCGAGGGGCCGGCGAGCGCAGGGCCAGCAAGCTCAGGGCTAGCAAGAGCGAGGCCGATGAGCACGGGGCCGGCATGAACTGGGGCCGGCGCGAAGTGGGGCCGGCAGGCTAGGAGTCGGCGAGCTAGGAGCCGGCGAGCTAGGGGCCAGCAAGCGAGGGGCCGGCTAGCGAGGGGCTGGCGAGCAAGGGGCCTGCGAGCGCAGGGTTGGCGAGCGCAGGGCTAGCGAGCGAGGGGCCGGCAAGCACAAGGCCATCGAGAGCGGGGCTAGCGAGCGCGGGGCCGGCGCGAACTGGGGCCGGCGAGCTAGGAGCCCGCGAGCTAGGGGTCAGCAGGCGAGGGGCGGGCTAGCAAGGAGCCAGCGGGCTGAGGACCGGCGAGCGAGGGGCCGGCTAGCGAGGGCGGCCAGCGGCGGGCAGCTAGCAACGGCGGCTAGCGACGGGCGGCTAGCGACGACAGGCGGGGCAGCGGCGGGCTAGGAGCCACGCAGCGCGCTAAGGGGCGAGCGGGCGAGGGCTAGGGCTAGGGCTAGAGCTAGGACTAGGGCGGAAGCGCGGGTGGGCGGGAAGCAGGGCTCTCACTAGCCGGGTAAAACACCCTGATTGCACTGATTTTTCCGGGTATTTTCCTTGTTAGTCTTAAAATCAGACTTCCATGTTTTTTAACACTGATCCAAAAAGTGTAGCGAAAGTTTTACCCTAGAGAAAACAGGGTTGCGAGATTTCGCACCTTGAACCGTCAGGATGTCCTGGAAAAGACTCTGATGCAAAGCTCAGGAGTGAATAGGGGCATTCCTCCTCACGCACACCCCACAAACCTGAAATTTAGGCGAAGTCCTCCAGAACCAGAGATATTCCTCGTCACACACACCCCACAACCTCCCCGACACAACAACCAGACACATGGCCCACCACAATGTGGTGACCACACCCAATCACGAGCATGTAAAATTTTCCCCGCCCTGTTCCCACCCCTGGAAATTCGATGTCCCTCCCGCACCCAATCACATGCTGCTGATTTTCTTCCTGCTCTGCTCCCGCCCCTGCAAATTCGATTCCCCCATACCCATCCCGCTCTCCTCCCCCCCACCCTACCCCCCCCCCCCCCTCCTCACCTTCCCCAACCCGCGCACGCGCAAATTCGCTGCACGTTTGTTTCACATTTCACCTGCATTTCGCGTGCCCTTCTTTCGTGAAGCACCGCATTGTACCGCATTCCACTTTGAACTCAAAATTGAACTTGCTAAGAATGCCAAGAGTTAGACAAGGTGGCAAAAAATCAACACTTTCAGCTAAGAGCTCAAAAAAAAATTACCCTGCCAAATCAGACTTCGGAAAACTTTTACTCTAGACGTCAGGGTGAAAGTTTTTTGTACTCTGATTCCTAAGTGTGGCCTAAAACCAATTTTGGGCCCTAGCGGGGAGTACCTAACCTAGCGTGATACCATCTCAGGGTAACGAATTAACTAGAGAAGAGAGTACACGGTGAGTTGGTACTTGTGTGTTGTACCCTCAAAGAGCATGCACCTATCTAGGCTATAATAATATATGCATATATGTTTGACAAACCCTATTATTCAAGGTGTTTTTTGGGGTCAACACTAATAAATCAGTGAGGCCTGAAACGAATCAAGGGGCCTGTTACCTACTCTATTCCCACTTACAACGCCACCTTGGGTACGGATAAAACACCAGGTGGGGGTCTTCTCTCTAGGGGATTGTGGTATGTGTTAAAGTAAAAACTGAATAATGAACTAGAGGTAGAAACCTCGAACAAATACTAGTTGGTTGTACTCACTAAAAGCATACCTCAGTCTAGCCTATAACTTGTACACAACTAACATGTATAAGTTGACACACCCCCTAGGCTAGACAAGGGGTGAAGCTAAGCAAGAAACAAATAGCTCAGGGTGGCACTACTAGTCCAACCGCTGAGGCAGGGGTCTGGAGACCAGTCCGCAAGGGTACAAACAAGACTACCGCAAGCCAGGGCGGCACTACTAGTCCAGCCACTGGAGGTAAGGCCACAAGGCCAGTCTGACAAGTATATATAATAGAGAGTACACAATCAGGATCCTAACAGGTGAGTAGCTACAGGAACAAGACCAAGCTGTACACAGTGCCGCTGATGATCTTTAGGCGCAAGCGCCTTAGTAAAGATATCAGCTGTGTTGGCACCTGAGGCCAAGTGAACTACGCGGGCCTGGCGGCGCTGCTG